TTGAGGTGGGTGAGTTTACTCAGCGGAGCTCCCAGTCAATCTGATCAAACTATTTCTGAATCAAAAGCCTAGTTCTCAGTGACATTTATGGAATTTTACATGACTAGTGCAAAGCTTTTGTTTGGTAATTTCTAGTAAGTTCATCTGGTTGAACTAGATGAAGTCCAGACTGACTATGACTTGCCTCTTCAAAGCATTTCAGACATTTTGCCTCCGAGTCTTAAAACACTCAATCTTTAGAACTGAAAATCTGGTAGTGACTGGAATTGTTTGTTCCAAACATGATTAGCTACCCCCAGGTTATTTCAAAGTTGTTTGATAAATGGGAACTGAATGTGTCTGCCATGTTTTGCACGAATCCTCATTGTACACAATTGAGAATCACAATAATGCAACACAAATCTACAAAAATACTGAACTTTAAATTTTTTTCTTTAAACAAATCTTTGTGGCTTAGCAATTTGCTCATCCAATAATGAACTAAACTCTTAAGTATGACTTTGCTGGTACATTTTTATCATTTTTTTTTTTTTTTTTACTGAATGGAACACAAACGTAATACATTAAAGAAAGAACAGAATATCAACCAAGAGTCAAAACACACACAATACTGATTACATGTGTTCAAGTTTTTGTTATTATGGAAAATTTTAGGACAAAATAAGGAACTGAAAACGTGAATATAATTAGCATTTCACATGATAGATTTTTCTTATTCTTTATTACAAATTGTGTCATCTGTAGCTAAATTATGTTTGGGAAATTACTAGCATTTAAGCTCCACAGCTTAAAAGGCATTACATTTTGGAATAAGTATAGTATATCAGATACATTTTGGTCCAGTTGTCACATACTGATGCATAATAGGGATCCCACTGAATTACTTAACGAGTATGTTGCGGGTATAACATTTTTCAGCAGAAAAATGCAGCAGAAACCCCTCTACATCCTAAATCAACACAGTGAGACCTTGGACACATTTCTTCCACTCATGATGCCACTGTTCTAGCACTTTTAAAGTAAAAAAAACAAAACTATGTAGTAGAAGTCTGTTGCATGTGAAAAACGTTTGCCTTCTGACACAGTAAAAGTTCAGAAAGGGTATATTTTAACTCAAAGAATGACCTTTTCCTAAGCCTTTCTCAGTTTTTGTACCTTAACATAACTACAAGAGTAGACTACGAAAAGTAAAATCAAAACAAAACTAGATAATTAAAAACAAAGTTTTAGACACAAGGATGCCTTCTGGGTTTGGATTTTATACCACAAAGTCCACTGAGTTCCTCGTTTGGACTTTTGTTCATTTTTATACTACTTCTTTTGACAAGATTTTACTATGCATAATGAGAAATTACACTAACGTGTCCTTAACAAGCAGCATAAGCGATGTGTATGGGCTGAGAGAGTATTGGATTGCAGCTTGCTCTGTCAGCTGCCTGTTACATATAGTAGCTTGCAAAAGTATTCGGCCCCCTTGAACTTTCCCACATTTTGTCACATTACAGCCACAAACATGAATCAATTTTATTGGAATTCCACGTGAAAGACCAATACAAAGTGGTGTACACGTGAGAAGTGGAACGTAAATCATACATGATTCCAAACATTTCTTACAAATAAATAACTGCAAAGTTGGGTGTGCGTAATTATTCAGCCCCCTTTGATCTGAGTGCAGTCAGTTGCCTATAGGCATTCCCTGATGAGTGCTAATGACTAAATAGAGTGCACCTGTGTGTAATCTAATGTCAGTACAAATACAGCAGCTCTGTGACGGCCTCAGAGGTTGTCTAAGAGAATATTGGGAGCAACAACACCATGAAGTCCCAGACAGGTCAGGGATAAAGTTATTGAGAAATTTAAAGGCGGCTTAGGCTACAAAAAGATTTCCCAAACCTTGAACATCCCACAGAGCACTGTTCAAGCAATCATTCAGAAATGGAAGGAGTATGGCACAACCGTAAACCTACCAAGACAAGGCCGTCCACCTAAACTCACAGGCCAAACAAGGAGAGTGCTGATCAGAAATGCAGCCAAGAGGCCCATGGTGACTGTGGACGAGCTGCAGAGATCTACAGCTCAGATTGGGGAATCTGTCCATAGGACAACTATTAGTCGTGCACTGCACAAAGTTGGCCTTTATGGAAGAGTGGCAAGAAGAAAGCCATTGTTAACAGAAAACCATAAGAAGTTTGCAGTTTGCCACAAGCCATGTGGGGGACACAGCAAACATGTGGAAGAAGGTGCTCTTGTCAGATGAGACCAGAGCACATAGGAGTTGAGACCAAAATGCAAAACGCTATGTGTGGTGGAAAACTAACACTGCACATCACTCTGAACACACCATCCCCACTGTCAAATATGGTGGTGGCAGCATCATGCTCTGGGGGTGCTTCTCTTCAGCAGGGACAGGTAAGCTGGTCGGAGTTGATGGGAAGATGGAAGGAGCCAAATACAGGGCAGTCTTGGAAGAAAACCTCTTGGAGTCTACAAAAGACTTGAGACTGGGGCGGAGGTTCACCTTCCAGCAGGACAACGACCCTAAACATAAAGCCAGGGCAACAATGGAATGGTTTAAAACAAAACATATCCATGTGTTAGAATGGCCCAGTCAAAGTCCAATCGAGAATCTGTAGCAAGATCTGAAAACTGCTGTTCACAAGCGCTGTCCATCTAATCTGACTGAGCTGGAGCTGTTTTGCAAAGAAGAATGGGCAAGGATTTCAGTCTCTAGATGTGCAAAGCTGGTAGAGACAGACCCTAAAAGACTGGCAGCTGTAATTGCAGCAAAAGGTGGTTCTACAAAGTATTGAATAATTACGCACACCCAACTTTGCAGTTATTTATTTGTAAAAAATGTTTGGAATCATGTATGATTTTCGTTCCTCTGTAATTTTGTTCTATTTATTATTTTTTTGTCATTCAGTTTAAACGTGTTTAAAATCCTGCAGTTCCAACAGAAGCTCTAAATGTATGTAGTATCAGTGTAAAATAATAAGATGCATGTAATGCAGGGAAAATGATAGAAGATACTCTGATGATTGCAGTTCTGTCTGTAATATTGTAGGATATTTACCTATATATAAGGCATCTTGTAATGACTGTTATTATAAACTGATACTGTTTAAATATAACTGAATTCTGTTGATGAAAATGAACTAATTAGGGCTCAAATGGTTGAATCCTGCACTAAAATCATCTTTGTGTGAATAAGAAGTCTCGACTTAGGTTACCCCAGATCACACTACTGTTTGTCACATTAACTCACCATATGGTTGTGGGTGTCATCCTGTGTGTGCTCTCCCTCCTCCTCTTCTTCATCTTCCTCCTCCTCTTCAGCTTCGCTGTTCTGTCTCTGCTCATCCTCATCTTCAAGCTCTGAACTTGATTCCTCCCCTCCCTGCCATGCCTCCTCACTCTTGCACTCCTCTGTATTGATCAAATCTGCATGAACGCGAACACACACAAGAAACCCAAACGTGAGATGGACATGTCGCAACTGCGAAAACTGTAGATCAGATTTTACAAATGCTGATGATCCATGTCTTTGAGGAAAGAAAACACGGCCGTCCTCACGGGGTAATCTGATTTGAAAATAGGCCTCATGGGATAATAAAGAAAGAATGGAAATTCAATCAAGAATGAAGGAGTAATTTTTGTTTGCTTTGCTTTTTTTGCAGGATAACAGTTCAATGGTCTTAGTCAGGCAAGTGCTATTGTTACTACCCCTCTTGCAGTAAAACTGTAAGAGAAACACAAACATTTAATTCTGTACTAAAAGCCTTGAACATCAGAACATATCTTTAAAGAGTTCTAATGGCTGAAGCCTCAGAAATCCCACATAAACTCAGGACTGTGGAATATGTCTATTGGCCTTTCCACAGAAAAGTGTTTCATAGTTAGGAAAAACAGAGAGAATAATGTCAGCATTAAAGTTCAAGTTCAAGTTCATTTGGGCACTTGACTAGTGTTGTTTCAGTGCTGTAGCAAGCCAAGATCTTATCTATGTGGTACTTAATCATACAAACTTTTTTTCCTGTGGTCCCTGTGTGCTTTCTTTATTTGTTCAGAAGGAACATTTCGTCTTACCAATAGATTTTATTTATAGTTTATTTTACACAACACCTACTCAAGTCAAAAACACTCTGGAAGAGGTAAGCATTATTGCCAAACTATCAAATCAAGAGACATCTTCATGTAAGTACAGAAAGTGAGTAAGCATCAGTAATCTTGTTAAAACAAATGGTTCCAGCCATCCTTAGCTACTTTCCTCTTGTGCATAGGCCGAATCTATGGATAAGAGCAAAAGCAGGCTTCAGCATTGTTTGGCAAAGTTTCAAAGGTGGGCTGCCATTCAGAAATCTGGAATCAGGCAACACAGACACTAACATTTTTGTGTTTCTAAAGCTGCATCCCAGACTCCTTGTACGGATACAAGTCAACTGTTTCTGATTTCTTCTCATCTTGGACTTGCTTGCTTGTGCCGTTGTATTTCTAACATTTTTTTTTATATTATTATTATTATTATTTTTATAGTCAGTATTGTAATCACATTTTGGTACAGTTTTTACTGCAGTGATTAGTCCTTTTGACCAATTCGGTCCTTTTAACGATTCTTTGTTCATGTTTTTTTCTCTCTAAATTTGTCCAATATAAAGGCCGATGGTTATTTTATCAACACTTACCATTACTTTGTTTAGTTGAGCGGTGAAGTAGAAAATCGTTTATAAGGCTTTGATTTATACTGAATGCATGGCCTAGTGAGGTTATTTGAAAATAACATATGATGTTGATTCAAAGCATTCAACTTGTGTTTGTTGGCTATCCACTGAAATTCTCAATATGAAGTCCAAGGAGAGGTTGATGCCAGGGAAGGAGCCAATTCTTAGGCTGAAAACACAGAATGGACTATCAGGAAGATAGCAAAAAACTTTACATTTGGCCAGATTAACAATGTGATACATTTTAAAGGAGAAAGAATTCACTGGCCAGCTCAGTGAGACCAGAAAGCCTGAAAGACCACAGAAGACAACTGAAGTGGATGATCAAAGAATTTCCTTTCCCTTTCCTCTTTCCTCGGTTAAGAAAAAAACCTTCCCAACACCTACTCAAGTCAAAAACAGTCTTGAGGGTGAAGGCATTGTTGTCTCCAATGAGAATTCAGCTTTAAATACAGAGGGCTTACAACAAGCTGCAAACTGCTGGTTATGCAGAAGAAAAAGCCTTCACACCCCAGAGACAAAACCAAACAAAAAAAACATGTTTGGACAGATGAAACCAAGAATCATGGGAAGAAAAAAGTATGGAGAAGGGAAAAAAACATCTCATGATCATAAGCATGGAGGATACAGTTTTCTGGAAGTGAATCACTAGATTTTATGATTGGAGTAACAGGATGAATTCTGAAGTGTACAAGGCTATACGCTCAACTCAAATCCAGCCAAACGCTGGAAAACTGAAATGGACAGCACTTCACAATACAAACGAAAAATGACCAAACGCAGAAAAACGAGAAGGTGGAAAGAGGTGAGTGAGGAAAACAAACACAAACAAACTGGGGCCATGCATTGTGTGGAGCTCCCTGTAATCTAGGCCTATTTAAGCTTAACTAAGCGAGGGTTAGTTAGAGGGATCCAGTCCTAACCATAAGCTTTATGCAAAAGAGGAACGAATCAAATGCTGTGATTACTCTGGAAGTAGAAAAAGTCCCATTACATCTGACTTCCACCATTGCTCCCTTCACAAACTGTGGCTGCCAGGAAAATATTTTTATTTGTTTTACTAATTCTGATTCCTGAAGAGGACAGACTCCAAGGTTGGTTGGAAACACCAAAAAGCAAACAAACAAACAAACTGTGCTCTAACCTTGATACTGGTGATCTTGAGCAGCTTTCTCAGTAAGCACACAAATATTACTAAATTTAATGGCCCCTCATATAATATGTGTATGGAAATGTTCTTATGATGTGAAAAAAAAAAAAGAGTCTGCATGCAAAATTGCTCAGTTTTATGACACGTGCACACCGGCCAATTTTTGTCTTACCGCCATGTGTATGTTAGTAAATAAGACTCATTTTAAATCAGAAGGCTCATGCTCGCTGTCTCCAGTCTGCATACTATTTGTTTACCAGCTAGACCCCCTTTGCTCTATACAAGAAACAAGTTTGCTTGGAGGTGAAGTGCAAACAATGTTGATAAAAGAGAAAAGGCTGCACTAAGACACAAAAGAAAGAAGAAAAATAACAGATACTAGAAACAAATAATGGTTTCCAAGGTTCAAGGAAGACCTATACAGTTCAATGACTGATTTTACTCAGCTAGTGCAAAATCGCAGGGACAAAGTCAAGGCCCCTTGAAAATGAGGTAATTGTTTGCATTTGTTTAGTTGACCATTACTATTTTACTACTGTTTAACTCTGATTAGCATAATCAGAGTGTGGACTGGTTTTGTAGAGTTCCAATTCCTTGAATTCATTTATAATGTAAGGTATGTATGTGTGTGGGGTGGGGGTGTCACCTGTGGCAGCTATGTGTGGGTCTTCTGTGATCTGCTCCAGTCTGCCCAGCAAAGCCTCGATGTTGGCTTTAATCTGAGTCAACTCTGACTTTATCGCCTGAAGCTCTGTGCCTTTCACTGCTGATAGAGAGACACAGACAAACATAGACAGAGGGGAGGGAGGTGAGAGGGGATGTAAGTGTCCATGTCCTGATTGATAAGCCTGCAAAGAAAGCAGTGGATCCACACACTTTTAAACATTCTCTAATGTTTAAATTATCTTTTTTCCTTTTATGACAGTAACATCTCTTTCATTTTTGATCCTATTTTGAAGCTTCATTTGCGCCTTTTTTCCTTTAAAAAAGTGCCCCCCCCCCCTAAACATTTAGATTCTCTTTGATTTGATCTCATATCTCATATTTCTAAGCAGGCATTACAAAACTTTTGCTAAGCTCCTTTAATGAAAGCTGGACGTCTGCACTTTAATCACATCCTGATCGTTTGATTTAAAATCCATGGCGGTGATGTACAACGACAAAACTGTACAAGAAATGTGTCACTGTCTCCAAAGTTATGGCCCTGGCTACATCAGGTCCCTCTTCTGATCGCTTTGATGGAAATCCGTAAATATATTTTGATCTGCATCATGTGCTAGTCAAAAACTTGATGTGTTAGCAGCACCGGAGATAAAGTCAGGGGATCACCAAGAACATCTGGAGTCGTGTGTTGGGATTCATGAGCATCTGTGCCAGATTTTATGACATTACAGACAAATATCCTGCTGTGGATCAAAGTGATGAATTACAGTCTTATTCAGTAAATGTTAAACTTTTTCATCTTTTTCTTTAATCAAAGTACTCTGATGTATTTCTCTGAAACTTAATAGATTTTTCTGATCAAATGGATGAAAGCTTGTCTGTGTTTTGAAGATAGAAATGTGAGGAAATCTACTCAAGTTTTATACTATTTCTATTTAGCCTTCCATTTTCCCCCTTTAACTCTACCAGCGTACCTCTTGTGTCCTCACTTCTGCCCCCGTCCTTCTTTTCTGGTCTTTTACTCCGTTGTCCTGTCCTTTTCTTTTAGTTTTACATTGTATTTGTATTTGTATTACATTGTATTAAAATTCTAGTTTTGTGTGCCTCTTTTTTAAAGCACTTTGTGACTCTTGTTTGTGAAAAATACTGTATAAATAGATCATTTTTTCTTTCCTTGCTTGCATTACCTTGCTGAGCCATGCCTCCCTGAATAAGGTTAAATGCAGACAATTTGGTTCTCTCAGCCAAAGTTTATTGTTATTGTAATGTAGTAGTGACAACCTCACCCTCTTTGTTTAATCCTATTAAACCTATAGGGCAATTAAATTTTTGTTTTCAACTTTGAATTTCGACAGACTCTTTGTCAGGAAAAATGCTCCCTTTATTATTCCTACAATAAAGATATCAAAGGCAATGGAACAGATCCAAAAATCCAAAAGATGCATCTCTGTTTGACATAAAAATAAGACAGCTGAACCCTTTGATGACCTTTCAGTGATCTTACACACACACAGCCTCACACACAAAGACAAACCTTGAGATAAGAGGTCTGCCAGAAGCTAGTAATAAATCGACACATCGCTGCAGTGACTTGGCATTAGTTTCTCTTTACCACTTATCACGACCTCTAGGGAAGATCTGTTTTTTACAGCATACAGAATCACCAAGATAAAAGTTTTCAGATCTAATGGGTGTTTTGCCTTTGATGGCTGTTAAGATTGTAAAGATTTCACCAGAAGCAACTGGACGCAAGCTGCACTCAAGCTGTGCATGTTGCTGTAAGGACTGGGGAAAAAGACAGTTTTTCTTTTAAGTAGACAAGATGGCTTGTCGTGCAGAAATCGATGATTGGATTAATGAAATTAAATTGTTACCAGGACTTCATGTCTTCACTCTTTCCACCCTTCTCCCTCGCACACAAACCCAAGAATCCCCCCCGCCTTTTACGGCTTGTCTGTTCATTACAAGTTATACATGCAGGCACAACCCGAAGCCTTATCACACAGGCTCTTTTAGAAGGTTGCTCTGACTCTAGACCCCAGGCGATAAAAGACCTGGCAGTCTTCCGTTGCCTGCTTGTGCTGCCATGGCTTTTTGCCTTATTCCATCTCTGGTATTAGACACTGGTGTCTGACACTTTTATTTTGGTCTTACATTTATTCTACTGAAGACTTTATGAACAATCACTAAAACTCTGACTTTTTCTCTCTGACTAACTTATGTATATATTTTTGATCTTTAAGCTCGAATAAGCACAAGCTCAATTCAATACAAAGAATCGACCCGAGCAACGCAGTTTCTGCTACATTATTGCTGCCCTATCTGGAGAATTGTTATTTTGTTGTCCAGCACATGAGATTCCTTTCACACTTAAAGAGTCTAATTTTGATTAATGAATTTATTAGAGTTATTTGACTTCAAACAAAAGGGACCCAGAATCTGCCTTTAATATCTCCCAGCCCACACACTGTGACGTCAGCTCAAGCCAACATTCAGCTAATCCGCATTGTTCAACCCACGCCTGGCGCCTGCTGAATTCTGGAGAGTGTCACCTCTTTGGACAGCTGTGTGAGAAGAACCAGAACCAAAAAAAACAACTCTGGATCCAATTCATGACTGTACCACGAAGGTAATGATATACCATTCCTTTCTATGACAAAGACCCGCTGAAAGTTGAATTTGATTTAATTAGTTTCCTGTAGCATTTTGCTCATATAAACCCGCTAACCCTTAAGGCTGCAAGAGAATTGGGTATTCTAACATGGTACTGTAACATGGCGGAACTGAAAATAAAACATTATGTGTTATTATCCTCACAAAACATTAAGTTAATAAAAGAAGAACTGTTTTTTTATAGTTACAGTGATAACTTAATAATATGAGTGTATTATTATTTATTTAAGTATTCTCTTAAAGCCGCAGGAAACAGAAATAAACTGAATACTATAAAAGAAAAAAGAAAAAGGCCACATGTAGCTGTATGTAACAGCATTTTTTAATTTATTTCATAGAACAAAATAATTTTTGTATGAAGCTACATGACTATATATATTTTAAATGTGATACTGGCATCTATTGTATTTGATGCAATAAACTAATTTTGACTATGCTTTTGAATTTAAATGCACAGACAATATTCTTGAAGGGGGTCAACAGCGAGCAGGAAAACAAAAGATACTACCATTTAAAACCGATGAGAACTTCTTTATTTTTAAAAATGGGGGGAGGGGGGGGGAGGGTTTAGTAAAGTTCTTTGGACACAGAAGTCGCTGAAGTTCATATCACTTCTATCTACAACTAAGACCTCTGAATTCCTAACTTAATCCAAGGTTTGTTAAAATGTCATCTGTTTCCCATTTCCATGCTGGAGGGAAGTATCTTCAAGGCAGCGCTGTGATGGATGTGACCATGCTTATGCTTTGTCTATGATAGTTTTAATATTTAAAAAAAACAAAAAAACCTTTTCCATGTATTAGTTTTTGGAAATGATTGATAGAGCTTAAATTATTATTTTGGTCTTATTCGGCGTATACATAGATGCCTCTTCACAAAAGCTTATCGCAGCTTGGAAGGTAAAATCTTCAATTCTTCAAAAAAATCTTTAAAGATTACATGAAATGTGCTAAATTGTTATGGAAGTGAGTAATAATGGTTAAAGTATTCACTAAAACAACTAAAACTCATCTTTTTGGAGTTTGATTAACATTAACTGGTTTACTGCTCTGGTATCTTTTTTGTCGTGAAGCACTTCATGATCTCTGTCTTGAAAACTGCTATATAAATAAAAATTTACTTACTTAATGCTTAGAATGCAAAACAGGATACACAAATCTAAAGTAAAAAAGCAAGAAAACCAAGATTTATTGTTTTAAAGAAAAGAATACACATCATGTAAATACAAATCTAAAAGCTGGGCCGTTACTAGATAATTATTTAATTATCCTTTATTAACAATTTTAAAAAACAAATATTCAAAAGTAAAAAAAAGTTTTAAAAAATGTTTTATTAAGGCAATTTTATTTATATAGTGTATTTCATTACACTCAATATGCTTATGTCCTCATGTGGGTTGTGTTAAAGCTGAGGTCCCTTGACAGTGAAGCAGGATCATCTTTAGATTTAAGTCTTGATTTGGAACAGACAGAAGAGCCCCCAGCTCAAGCTCTAAGGCTGCAAACATTTCTCCTATGTAGCTCGGGGCCAGACCCAGATAAGTTACGAAAGTCATCAGCAAAGTAAAACAAAAATAAATCCCAAAATATACAGGACATAGGAACACTGTAGAGAAGCCAGGACTGGTTATTCTACTCATTCTAACTTCATTCTGAATTGGAGGCAAGAAAGATAATTTTTTCATATTTAGCCCAGAAAAGAGGTAGCAGATGTAGTCTCCAAAGCAAATAAAAGCATGAATGGCTTTTTCTATATGGGAGTATGAAAACGAGCGGTAATAGCGGTAGTAAATATTAATAGTCAAATTAAAATCATGTGAAATATAAAAATGTCATGCCGTTGACCATAGGTCCAGTTGTTTAAGGATGTCCTGTGTAACTGCAAGCAAAACTTAGTTCATATCAGCGAGCATTAGGCCAAAAAAACCTGTTCTGATATCCCCAAAAAATCTGCAGTTAAAAAAGGCTTTTGTTTATTCTCTTTAAAACAATTTGCAATGTAAGTTTAATGAATACACAGAAAGACACTTAAATCTGTGACATGTAAATTGCTTTGTGAGCTCTACGTAGACTGAAAAATTCAGGGAGCTGACAGGGCCTTTGCATAATTTAGAATCTGAATATGCTTTCAATTCATGTGATGGGCAACTGGTAAAAAAAGGAAAGAAAAAAAACAAGAGAAAAAACAAGAGAGAGACAAGGATTAACCTGATGTTTTGGCCTTCCAATGTCATGTAAAAGCAGGGCTTGAAAGATAGATGAAGAGGAGGTTTGAGACAGGGTGGAGCTGGTTAGAAATTAAACCAGAAGAGATAATGAATAAGAGAAAAGCAAGAAATATATGTAGTCAGAAGGAAAATGTTTGGTGACAGAGCTGTGTGTTTTTCCTAAAATCAATATCACTGACAATTTGAGAATTTAACAAGTTATATGTACAGAATTGTATATCAATATATGTACGTGCATATTTACTTTCTTAAAATGTTGATATTTATTTTTACTTCTACTTGGAAAAGTAAACAGTGACAAACTAAAGTCAACACATCAGACTTTAATGGTGGATTAATGTGGTGTAGGTACTGCAATGCTTTACAACAGCTTCTTGTAAAGCAAAACTGGCTGATGGTTCATTTGTACACGTTGAAACTCACATCTTTGTTTGTTGCCATTGCTGGTTGGGAGGATGGAGGCGTTACACGCCAGCAGTTTGACAGGCAGAGACTTGACCCGTCGTACGAGGGGTACAGCCACTCTCGGGCGTTTGACTGGCACCACACGTGGAACAGGAGACACTCTACCATGGTACTCAAACAACCTGCGAAGAGGAAGGTGAGGGGAGACAGAAAGAATGAGAAGGAAGCAGGGGCATCAAAGTAAAGAAAGATAGAAAGGAGGGTTGAAAAGGAGGGAAACAAGAGGAAATGTTGAGATAGGAGAATAGAGGTCAAATAAGGAGGCAATGTTTTGAAAATGACGTTGTGCTAAAAAAAACTACATTTATCTTTAGCTGAATCTATGAAAAATGCCAAAGATGAAACAGTTTGACAGCATAAAATAGTATTTTGCATAAAACCTGGGATACCTCGCTACTGTGTGTTGAGTGTCACGGAAACATTTGAGAAAACTGGACGTGGAAGATAAAAAAAGAAGATGGAAGCTTTAGATGTTGTATTATCGCTTATATTCTTTTGATTTTTTTTTTTAGAGATATATAGGGGTATATGTGTGTGTGTTGTATCTTGTATCCTTTATTTCATGTGCTGAACTTTGGTCAAATTTACTGTTTTAAATGTGCTTTATGAATAAAAATTTGCCTTAGAATGTACTGGGAGCCTAAAATAAACTATCTGACAGATAGCTATCTGTACAATGCAGTGGAGGCTCTATCATGGTTTATGGCTTCATTTCACCTAGTGGTATGGGGAAGCTTGTCAAAATTGATGGAATTACAAATTCAGAAAAGTATGATCATATTTGTATCCACCATCTGGGAAGCATTAGATTGACAACAGCTTCAATTTTTAATATGACAATGATCCCAAATACGCTGCAGTACAGTACAAGTATACCTGGATAGAAAAATACACAACATCTGTCATGGACTGGCCTCCCCAGAGCCTTGACCTCGACAGCCTTACTGAAGCAGTGTGAGATTGGATATATGGATGTGTCTGGAAACTTGCTTAAAAAAAAGTGGAAAAAAAAAAGTACATTCAAGTAAATAATTTATGCAAAAAAAAAAAAAAACTGACAGTAAAGCTGAGAATGTCTGGCTTTGTGACTGTGCTGCTCACAGCTATACGTAAAAATCACCCAAACAATACCAAGATTTAATGGCCACATTTATTAGGTTCCTGGCTTTTTTAGTACTTCCATTGGCAACTGCTCAGCAAAGAATCAACAACAACTATTAAGGTATTCTATTAGCCTTGTAACTTCTCAGCAGAGCTTTTGGGAAAAACATCTGTTGCAAATGGTTTACTTGGATTTTATGAGGATAAACACTTTGAAAAAAGACTTTATTACTATTGTGGAAAAACAATATTTTTGATCTTTCTGTGTGGAACTTCTGGTAGTTTGTTACCCCTGTGGCTTTAACACAGTGATTCAGTAATGTTTTGAGCCTTTAGTAATTTCAAAGCTTGGCATTTGTGTTTTATTGAGCATGACATCTAAATAAAAGTGGTTTAGAGATTCCAAGGCAAAATAATTTACGCAGGCATCATTTTATCATTTTATGAAAGAGTCCACAGAAAGAGCCAGAGGAAAAATGTCTTTTTTGAAATCCAACATATGAGCCTCATTTTCTTGTGGTACACCCTGATGACAGTCTGCTGATGGCTTAAATAAATTTATGAACTTCATGTTTCACAAGTTTAAAAAATATATGCAAAGTTATGTTGCCAAAGTAATACAATTGGGTTACATTACAGTTCAGCCAAACATAAATCTGTAATAAATTAAACCTTTTGAAACATTTTCAATTTTAAATCTCAGTTGTGTTTGAACATGTTGCTGCAAATAAAAGAAATATGAGCTCATGCTGTGAAACTGCTGAGGCAATTCAATAAACATCAAATGTCTTTAAACAAATTGGAATAAGCAGAATAAGCTGAGGAGCAGAAATGAATTACGACGGCCCAAACAAGTTGATTCTTAATTATGAATTGTAAAATAGTTTTGAAATAACTTCATTTAGCAATATCTGCCACTGGTTATTTATTTGGCAAAGATTAGCAACAACCAGGCTAATGTAGGGACAGAATGTCAGTTAAATGGACGATCATGGCTCAAGAGTTGGGAGGTCGCCTTGTAATCGGAAGGTTGCCGGTTTGAGCCCCGGCTTGGACAGTCTCGGTCGTTGTGTCCTTGGGCAAGACACTTCACCCGTTGCCTACTGGTGGTGGTCAGAGGGCCCGGTGGCGCCAGTGTCAGGCAGCCTCGCCTCTGTCAGTGCGCCCCAGGGTGGCTGTGGCTACAATGTAGCTTGCCATCACCAGTGTGTGAATGTGTGTGTGAATGGGGGGATGACTGAATGTGTAAAGCGCTTTGGGGTCCTTAGGGACTAGTAAAGCGCTATACAAATACAGGCTATTTAAAGCCAGTGAGTCTTTTATCGCATAAAAAGGTAAACATTTACATATTTTCTATATCTGCTTGAGAGCCATCATCTCTTACTGAGGTTTTAAATGTTGTTGCACTAGCTAATGGCAAGAAACCCTGGCCATGTTGAACTCGTTTTGTGGGTTCAGGTGTAGTCCACAACCTTAAGCAGCTTTACAAATTATAATGAGGAAAAGGCCAGCCCTTATTAAGTGCATTGATTAGGAGAAACAGATAAATAATCTATTACATACATTTATTTTACTTGTTTTTAAATTTATATGTATATATTATACTCCCATCCCAAAGAACCCGAGATTAAAAGCAAAAGATGTGACTGCCAGCTCTAATGATCTCTGTAGCTGAATAAAAAGCAGGAACTCAACAGTTGCTTGTTTAATGTATTAAACGCTGAGAAGAATGAATAATTTAAAGAGTAATAAATTTATAAAACTATGCAGATTTCTATAATGCAATCTCAACAACATAATCCCATTCTGCGTAACACACTGATTTACTTTAAATGGTAAGAATGTGGCCATTTCTTCTGTTTGTGGGAGAGCAATGAACTACTACAATTTAACGTCCCAAGTCTGAAAAAGGGTTCCAGGAACCTCAGGTCAGAGTACATATTTGGGCACAGTTAAAAAGTTAACTGCTTAAATCAAAATCTTTATTTACACCGAGGAGAAAACATGTCATGTGTTGGTTATTCAATTCGGGTCATGAAAAATAATGACATTTTTTAGAAACCTTCTGGATTATGGTGATTTAATTCAACCACTCTGGGAACAATGACCTCCATTTGGTTTTACTACATTATGTGCTATCCTGCACAGGATGTCCTGCTAAGCCTGCAGTTTGAAACTTTTTGGACAAGCAACATCATTTTTTGGTCTGTTTTCAGTAATACGCCCAAACAAAGTCCATAACTTCTAGATTTACACACTCCTGGAAGTTGTTCAGATATTAGATAAACTGAGATTTTTGCAGATAGCAATAAAACTGTAAAGTCAAAGAGCTGATAGTCATCGCACATAATTTGTCCAGATGGCATGGCGATTTCCTCCACTAACTTAATAAAAACCATGAAATGGTAAATCATATTGTGTAATATGAAAACATGATACCACCATTAAAGCAAAGCTGGGCCACGCAAACCCCAGCAGAAAAAGTCCCTGATCCCCTGATTTACTGTAAAGATCATCCTTTAGGAGGTGGATAAACTTTGATCCCAGCTCAGGTGATGTAGGGTCATGAGTTTCAAAATAAATAAGATACAGTAAAAAGAATGGGGGAAAAAGACAACAGCAGAAGCATTCTCTCTCATAGAGTCCATTTTTGATATAGAAGTAGATCCACTTAACTCAGATTTTTCAATTTTAGGGTCATCGTATTTTATTTCACATGTGCACAGCCTCAGCCTGAACACTCTTAAGCTATAAAAATACTTATAGCCTGGGCTGTTTGTAATATTTTTACATTTAAAAATGTGAGTGAAAAAGTGAGATTGACACATGGGATGGGTGTAAATCAGTGCTGAGGTCTGTGGCCCAGCTGGTCAGCATGTTTCACCAACTGTTAACAAAATGTGTCTGCCCACTTGAGCTCAGAAAAAAATCTACAACTATGGTTTCGAAGCTGGAGGGACTGAAATGGGTTTGAGAACCCAAATTGTGGACAAAAGGTGAGTGGGTGCAAACTATTGATTTGTTTTCTTCGCAGGGTGGTTGAACACTGGGAATACGACTGTAAACATCTGGAAGGAATTCTGCGTAGCAGTGCTGTTCTTTGGAAAGCTTTGGAAATAAGCCAGTTAAGGTGGCTGATTCAGATACCTGATTAAGAATGGGACACGGATGCCTCCGTGTGGAGGCGCATCTTACCCGCCCTTTCCCAAGTCTGCCAACACGACAATCCAGTCTGGAGCAAGTGTCACATAAAAGAAGCAATAGATGGAATATTGCACATTGCCAATATTAGACAAAAAAAAACTCACTGATGTAATGCTTTATTTGTAAATACACAATACAATCAAGTTGTTGTGTGTGCAATGATCCTAAACTTGTAACAGTAAACAAGGCCAGGTTCATGAAGCAATGTTTTTGCCAGTTTGGCCTGGAATAACTTGGCTCACATCAATCCCCATCAAACATTATTTGGGATAAGGCTGTGAGCCTGTTCCCAACTTTTGAAATGATCTTGTAGCTAAATGAAAGCACATTACTGCAGAAAGGTTTCAAAATCTTGTGCTAATCTTTTCCAGAGCAATGAATTATTATCACAGCATATGAATGTCCTATGAATGTAGCTTTAACATCTTCACCAGCCACACAAGGGTGTTCACAAACCTTTGGCCATAAATTCTCTGTTGTTCCTATGCTCTGATTTTTAGCAAAGAAAGCCACAATTAATTAGAGTGAGGCTGTCTTTTGTTTTGTTTTGTTTTTTTAAATTTCGTTTTTAATTTTAAAAGAGGATATCTGTTGACAGAAGATATCTACACTGCGTGAGGCTCACAGCTGGTGTGGCAGAGATGTACAGAGAAGTTTTTTTTCGTTTGTTTATTGTTAAGACCATGACTTGTGCATGCGTAGTAAGTGTGAGCATACACTTCACTGACTTTGCCGTGGGTGTAAATACACGAATCGGTTTCTTCCTGATTAGCTTTAAACATGTATAGGGTCTACAATTGGGAAGTCATTAAATATG